CTTACCTCTTCAAGCGGCGCATTGCCACTTCTTTCACCTATCCCGTTGATTGTAACTTCAACTTGTTTTGCTCCCGCACATACACCCTGTTAGAATCCCACATCGGAAAATTAAGGGACCAATACTAATATCAACATATTGTTATGTATATATGTGCATAGATATTTGTAAGTAAGTAAAGAAACAAGGAGAGTTAATTGAGTACGGCTAGTGAGTTGGCGGTAGCAAGACCAAGGTCGTTGTGACAATGAACGAACACGACAACATCATCAATTCCAGGAGTGTTTGCTAAGACGTAGCTCACAAGTTCTCCGAGTTCTTGCGGTATGGTTATCCCTACTGTATCCGCGATGCCAATCGTGGTTGCGCCTGCTTTTATCACTTCTCCGAAAACCTTGCATAAAAACTCCTTCTCCGTCCTGCTTAGTTTTTTTATCAACAGGCTAGTATTTAAGAAATCTATGTATGGCATTTAAAAAACAAAATATGTTATGATTTATATAACATCATCTAGCACTAGTGTAACTCCCAACCACATGGTGAATCTTATAACAACTAGACCACTATAAGTTGGTTGACACAAGTTATAATTAAACAACAACAAAAATTTCAATTTTAATGCAAATATTCTTGTGAGATATAAAGGCAAACGTAAACGTAAGATTACTAAGTACTAACAAAAATATTTTGTAACGTAAAACCCAACGGACGCAAACAAACAATCGAGATATATAATTAGGATTTTAAGATATGGACCTGCCGCCATCTTCGCAACCAAACTCGATGTCTTTGAAGCCTAAGCTCCTAGCAAATCTAACACAGCTCGCAGCCATGTCGATGACTTCTTCTTTGGTCTTTTTCAGCTTATATTTCATGTGAATGTCACTAGTAGATGCGAATATGATTACCCTCGGCCTCTTCGCGTACTTCACCGACTCCCAAGCCGCCTTAATGTCGCTTTGTTTGCTTCGTGCGAGTACGCATATCACGGGGACGTAACCTGTTTCCTCATCCACCTGAGCAAAACACAAGAGAAAATCTCAGGTACAATGGTCCAAGATGGTCTGGTTTAAGGATGCAGTTTCTAAGTATGCACAAGGCAATAAGATCTTCATCATGTTCCTCTGTTTCAGATTTCCTCTGTTTTCAAATTTTACATTATAAAAAAAATACAAGATAGATGCTTACACCGTTAACTATATTCATTTGTGCGTGTATTCTTTGCGCCTAAACCATGTCCGTTCAAATTTTATCAAATGTTCCGTAATGTGAATGAAATTAAAAAACAACCTCGTTCCCCACGGTCTTGGCTATGGTTTTGACGGTTTCAAACTCTTCCTCAGATGAAGCCGGAAAACCAACTTCTATGATGTCTACTCGGAGTTTAGCGAGCTGCCGAGCAATCTCTAACTTCTGCGGTGGAGTAAGGGCTCCACCGGGAGATTGCTCACCGTCACGGAGCGTCGTGTCCAATACACGAACATAGTTCTTGTCGGGGAGCTTGTTCGGAATGTACTCCGGCCACCGTTCCACGATGGGCTTGACGTCAGTAGCCACTTTCTTGGACACAGATGAGCAACAGGAGATGAACAAAGACTTCTTGTTGTACGGACGGATCAGTCGGAGAGATCCGAAGGGTAGCATTGACCGGACAACAACAGTGGAACCGGTGGTGGAGATCATATTACCGGAAGATGTCAGAAGTGACAAAGCCATCACAATGGATTACTTAGGAGAGAAAGAGAGAGCAAATGTGGTTTTGATTTAGAGGATAGATATGTAGTGAGGAAATTGGTTTGCAATGAGATGGAGAACATGTACAATATATCTAGCTAAATTTTATAGGCAGAAATATTTTTTAATGAATATTTTTTAGTGATAATTACCCAAAATAACTCAAAACTATGAAAAAATAACTAGATTAACCCACCCAAAAAAGTATTACTAGTATAACTCAGATTTTGAGTAAAAAGACAATTAACATTATAAACTTCATTTTATTATC